TGTCCTAAAAGTGTGACCGTGTGAGGCATGTGGGGAAGGGGGACTGGGTTTCAGTCACTGGTTACAATGTTAGTTTTGAATGACAAATGCTTTCATGCCCAGCCCTGTGTGGGGCTGTGCACTTACTCACTTTTACCTTTTTGAAGCACTAAGATTATAAGTACTAATTCCGCAGCGCACATCCTCTCCCTTGATTCATTCTGGCAGACATGAGCCAAATGAAGGAGTAATGTGGATTATCAGAGATTCTATGACTTTGTTATGCTAGGCAATGGGGTTCTATGAAGCTGGTTATGGATACTGTAATATTTTCTTATACCACAAGTAGTTAGGAAAAAGCACATCTATATATCTCTGATGCCATATACTACAGAAAATATGCATATCCTCTCGTTACTATTTCATTTTGTTTAATAATTATTAGAAGGCCAATTTTTGCATGAGTTTCATACTATGGAAACATTCAGGATAATCTGTTGTTGTCCACTAGATGGCACAGCAGTACAATCCTGCCACATTTCATTTCTGTCTAAAGAGTTTGGCTTGAGTTTGTTTTCTGATTTCTCATACAGTCCATTGACTTCAGCATAATCACTCCTGATTTACATAACCTCATAGGAGATAAAAAATCTGCCTTTTTCTTAAAGGACCTCAGAATCTAGCTTTAGGCTGGTATTGTAATCAATACAATTTCTTTTGAAATTATACTTTTCTGAGAAAGGACACTACACGCTAAATCTGCTTGCACCTTTACATGCCTAAGTGGCACATATAGCCACATAACTGCAAGTGTTGGCATTTGCACCAAGGTAGTCAATCACTTAGGTACCTGCATCCCTGGCAGAAATTAAATATAAAAGAAAATACCTCTGGATTTTTAGCCCAAAAGCCTAGAGGTTATAGCATTTGCTCAGGGAATAGAGGGATTTAAGGTGTCTTTACACATGTTCTGGAGTGGGGAGGGAGGTGCCTTATTTAAAGCTACTCTTGGGAGCCAGTCTAATTAAAGTTCCCATGGCATCTCATGTATTGAGTGTCCTGCCCTTCAAAATGGTGGTGGGGGCACTTTAACTAAAGCTTGCTTAGTGACGTTTAGTTAATGGACCCCCACCACCATTTTGAAGCACAGCGATGTTGAATACACATGATGAAGAGGCTGCCAGAGTGTGCTAATTAGAGTGCAGAGGTTTGGGTTGTAGCCGTGTTGGTCTAAGGATATAGGCAGACAAGGTTCCTTGGGTGAATTTGATATCTTTTATTAGACCAACCCAAATAGTTGGAGAATAGTTATTAAGCAAGCTTTCGGGTTCAAAAACCCTTTGTCAGGCTAAGGAAGTTTCAGCAGTTGGTGTGTGCTCTTCCTGGATGGAAGAGCACACACTAATTAGAGTGTGCACACTCCAGCAGACTCAGTTAATTAGTTCATCAAGTCTGCTTCAATGCGTTCTAGTTAGAATGTGTTGGAGCAGGCCTCATGAATGTGTATAGGTGCCTAAGGTACTGCAGCCCATGGGGTGCTAGACCTGTGTCTCCTGCTTCCCAGCAAGCCATCCAAACCCTAGGACACAAACTTATCCCTGCCCTCAGAATTCCTTGTTTCCCCTCTCCCCCACATTCACTGGCAACTGGCCCAGTGGTCAGCCATGAGTTGAAGATATGTGGGACCAAGAGCTTAGCAAGATAGAGAAGGGTGGCTCAGTGAGATGTATCTTGCCCTCATCAGGAGCCTGCTCTGGACTTCCAATGGCTTGTCTACTACCATTTACTATTCACTGGATAAAACTGATAAATATCAGTGGGATAGTTCCAACTCCATTGGAGTCAGAGGTTCAGTCTTTACTAAAATCAATGGATGGTATGGGTGCACAACAACTGTGCCCCATTTGGGCTCTTCATGTATGGTGCTGTAATTGACTGAGCACCATAATACAATATTTTAATTAATACTTGACTTGCTAGAGTGGTCAGGATTGAACAATGACATCCCCCTTGTCAACAGACTGCCATTGGTTTACGTGTGCTGCAAAGAGCACACACGTAAGAGTGCATGGTTAATTACCTTCATGCCTCCCCTCTGCAATCTCCAGCCACACAGAAAAATGAAGGTCCCTTTCTCTTGTATGCATGGAGTTCACAGCCTTTACACATGTTCTTACATAACATATGGTGGTTAACTGTGGGTGAACTTCATTTTCTGCAATGAAAGATTTGATTTCTGCTGCTTTTGTTCTGAACAGCAATGAAAATAGTAATTGCAGAAAAAGGCAAATTATAGAACTGATGTGTCCAAGGCAGTTCTTATTTGTATTTCTCCTAAGTACAAATCATCATCATTATTATTCTTGTTGTTGCATCTACTTGATTTAAACTAACACCTAGAGCAGTGGTTCCCAATCTCAGGTCACGACATAAATGAGGGTTGCAGGGTCAACGCCGGCAGTGCCGCACACAAAAGGTGACCCATGCCACATGCTGGGAGCTCCCCTGTCCCTGCCCTGAGGCTGCAAAATACTCTTTAGTATTTTGCATATTATTTAGAATAAGATTTTAGCTTCATTAGGAATGGCTAAGCCAATACCGAAAACTTTAGCAAATTCCTCTATTCTTGTGTCTGTGCTCAAATATACCAGTGTTTTTATCTTTATCCTGTCTTCCTTCCTCAGTCACTTGGTTTTCTTATCAGTCTGTATTGGTTATCTTTAGAAGGCAACTATTTAGGAGACTGTTTATCATTTACTATATATTTGTGCTGTAATGGCACAATGAAGCACTGACTTGCCTGAGGCTTCTACATTTATGTAATCTTGCAGGCTATAAAACACTACAACATAGTTTATACTTTCCCTTATTTCAATAGATAAAAGAAAAAATGCTATGAAGTGTTTTAGAAAAGATGAAGACTATGAAAGATGACCAGTAGGTAAAAGAAAGGAATGGTTTACATGGAGTTCAATCTTAGTTAGGGTCAAAGGTCTGTTGAAGTTCAGCAGTCTTTTGCACAACATGGTGATGGCTGTTGTTTCCTTAGGCAGTGACTTATAAAGGATTGCTGTAGCTAGATCATGGCAAAAATAACATGCAGACGGGCACCCAACTACCAGTAATGTTGCTATTTAATTACTATTATGGTTATTCTTTGTTAACATTATTCCTTACCAAACTGAATCCTTCTGAAAAGGGCTATGGTTAGCCGTGTGAGTTTTTTTACAGTGGTTCTAAATTGGAGAGGCTGTAAAGTGAAGAGTCAGCTGCAGATCTATAAAAGTATTTTATACTCTTAATTAGGAATTTGGGGCGCTATAGATTTCCTGTTTGCCTGCAGCTGATGTGTTGGTGAGCTGTTAGTTTATTTTTCCTTACTCCGTGAGGCAGGTGCAACATGGTAATTTCACCAGTGGTTTAAAGGAGTTTGTAATGATTCTTTAGGTGGAATTGATGAAGTGTTGAGGACAGCCTGCCTGTCTGCACTAGCTTACAGCTTGGACTAATATTTTTATTAATAAAATCAGGCTGTAGGTAGAGGGAATGGCCCCTATACAGTATGAACAAGGTATAACTGCTACTCAACTTGAAGTTTAAAAACTAAATCAGCTTTTGAATATTTAAAGTAAAATTTTATAAGCTTCTATAAAAAAAAACCAGATTTTTTCATCCAATACATAGTTATTTTGACTGCTACAGTAAAGTCAGTGACATGTTAATACTTCAGTTACACTATAGCAAATCTGCTGTTCATCAGTTATTGTTCTAATTTAGCAATATTATATACATTAACAGTCATTCCCACCCCCCACTGCTGATCTTCTGGTTGGTGGAACCGATGTCTAAAATCCAATTCCCTTTCTACCAATAGAAAATATCTTAGGGCTTGTCTTTACAGTGAAATTACCCAGAATAGCTGCTGCAGAATGCTAGCTATTGAGCCTTCAATTCATGCCGTACATTAATATAATTTGCAAATGTCAGCAAGCCCTTAGAATGTTCCTGTGAAACAGGTGACCTTATTGTCACTGGATTTTCCTTGAAATGTAATAAAAAGACAGTTTTCCTCTCGGAAAACAAAAGATAACGCCTTTGTCCCATTTGATTCCAACAGAATTTGATACTGTCTTCAGTGGTGTTAAGATTTCACCCAAGTATGATTTTTATTGGGTTCCATGTCACTAGAGCAGTGTCTGGTGAAAAAGTCTTATACACAAAGAAGAACCATGTTTCCCATCAAAGCTTCCATAAGAGAAAGGCTGCTCCTTGGTAAAGACACAGAGCTTGAAGTTTCTGAGTGTGTGTGTATGGGCAAGTGATTTTGACTTTATTTTTGATTCCACCAGAAGTCAGTGATGGTTGTACCACCAGTTTCAAAGTCACTAAAGCTGGCCTTAAATTATTTTTATTTTGGTGGGGTTTTCAAAGAAGCCTAAGTTGTATTTCTCAGATTCCTGAAATGAGGACATTATTAACAAGCACAAGAATGTTGTAATATTTAACTCACTAGTATCTGAACTATGTGGGCACACGTAGACTCACAGTAATATTATAGGTTTACAAAATGTTATTCTTTGTATCACTAGTTTTGTAATTTAACCTCATCTCGTTATATGAATTAAGTAATATGTCTGTTTTTTAATTTTGTTCAGACACTGAAAAAATACTAAAACAATTGTCATAGAAAAGTATATTTTGACATCTTCCTTTTTTGCCTTTGTTTAATTCTTAGAGCTGTATCAAGTTGTTAATCTCATCACTACAACCAATTGTCATGGCTTTATACAGCTTTACAGTCTAGTTTAGTCTTTCCTTAAGAATATCTGCAAAAAAATTACCTGGATAACATGCAGCAAAACCTGTTACTCAAAAAGATAAAAAGGCACACAAGGTATATAATTCAATTGACAATATTTAATTTGGTTAAAGAAATATAAATACATAGAGGAGTGATTTATAAAAAGGATAGAGCCCATGAATTTTAATGTGAGAAGCTCTATTTAGGATACAGTAGGTTATCATTTCTGAAGTAAATTCATTGTTGAACAATCCTGCCTCAGGATCCTACAGCTCACAATCACCTTCACTGCTTTTCGAAACCAAGGATAAAAAAGAGAGTAAATTAAAGGATTCATGGCAGAGTTAGCATAGGTTAACCAAATCATAATATCAAAGACAAGGGGAGGAGTTATGAAGTTAAAGAAGGCATCAATAATTACAGTTACAAAAAAAGGTGACCAGAATAAAAGGAAAGCAATTCCAGCTATGCCCAATGTTGTAGCAGCTTTTCTCTCTTTTCTGTTAACTCTGGCAATATAATTATCAGAGGATTGTGTTTTCTTGCTCACACTCTCTATCATTCTAGCTTGTCTTTTAGCCACACTAAAGATCCTGCTGTACAGTGCTATCATGGTAAAGAACGGTATAAAGTAAAGGAGAGAAGTTATCAACACCCAGGTCTTATTGAAAACAAGCTCACAGTTCCCTACACAGGCTAAAGCTTGCACTAATTCCTGTAGCCCTTCATCATTAGCCCTACTAAAAACTACAGAAAAACTGTACACTATTGAAAATGTCCAGGCAACAGCTATGAACATTCTTGAAACTGGCGCTGTGAACTTCATGGGGTAGACTAAAGGGTCGGTAACAGCAACATACCGATCGATGGACATGAAACATAAATGAAATATTGATGCATAACAAAAAGATGCATCTAAGCAACTGTGGACTCTACAGAAAGTTTCCCCAAAGTACCAACAGGTCTCAACAGATCTTATAGTGCTGAAGGGCAGCACTGTCAAACCCAAGCAAAAGTCAGCACAGGCCAAGGAGGCAACTAAAAAATTTGTAGGAGAGTGAAGCTGTTTGAAATAAGCAATTACTATCATGACCATGAAATTCCCACTCAGAGTAAGAAAAGTCAGAAAACCAAGTACAGCATACAAAGTAGACCGGATTCCCAAAGGCCATGGAGTTTTATGGCAGGATCCATTAATATTCTCAAAGCAGTACTGTATTTCGTTTTGAAGAAGTGCTGAACTCATCTTGTTTTTCTGGTTGTGAATTGCTTCTGAAAGTTCTAGTATCTGAATATGAAAAGCAGTGGTGATAGTGCAGCACTGAGTTTAAACCTTCAGTTTTCAAGTGTTTCTGAAAAAGAATTAAAGTTGACATGGTTGATCGTGCTAGTAATTCAAGATTTCTAACTAATCCATTAGATCATAGTATGCTTTTGTACTGGCAATTACATTTTAGAATAAAGCAAGATATTTCCAAGATTTTCATTTTATCTACAGATTTGTGTGAAAAATAAAAAACAGAACAAAGCAAAATATCTGTTCTTTCTTTGATTGTCAAGGTCAGCTACCTAGTGGCAAACAAATAGTAAAGATGCAGTAAAACTACAATATCTCCAATATTTTAATCAAATTTTTTAAATTTATTGCTTTGTCTTTGTTTCAGTTTTCTAGACGCCTGATCTTTATCTGGTTACGTCACCTGCAAAACTGTTGATTCCACAGTAATTGGCTGGTCCCTGAATGCCTTACCTTTTGCAAAGCTATTGTTCCAAAGTCACCCTGGATTAAAACATGAATAGATGACTGGAATACACTCGTTGTGTGTTCTTTGAGTTTTCCAGTAACTCAAAGTTACTGGCAAAATAAATATGTGCTGTCCTCTCTGAAATTGGGGGTGGGAAACACTAGCCAATGCAGAACAAATTTAGTCATCCCATGAGGTGAAATCCCAGTAGTAAAGGGGTAATAGTAAAAGCATCATTAGGCAAAGCATTCCCATTCACTTCAGGACAGATAGTCAAATAGGTATATTTTGTGCACACTCTTGAACTCTAGTTTATAATCTATATCTTTAAATCTAAATTCAAACATTGTTCATTGGCTATTAGCTGTTACCACAGAAATAGTTTTATACATTTTGCTTGGTCCAGAAATGTTGATTAAGGCAATGGTGGACATTTTTACCCTGTGACCAAGACATCCACAGAAGCTGCTCATGTCTGACAGACACAGAGGCCTTCAGAGCAGATGCAGAGAGGCTCCTCCCCACAACTGGCCACACCAACTAATTTCTAGGTTTGGGTCTAGGTTAGGTCAGTCACTTGATATGTAGGAAGCCAAGCTCAAGTCTCTACTTAGGTGTTCTATTTAACTCAACTATGTCCTGCCTCCTGCATATACATTATGATACATATTTTATTCCTAGGGTCACATATTATATTTTCCACAACCTCTGCCTCACTCAGTGTGCAGGTTGGTGAAATATCAGCTATTTATTATTTCATTGTATCCCCTTTGATCTGTGTATTATTCAATATTGAATTACGGAATATCAAATAGCACAGTAGACAGACCCCAACCCACAAAAGGAATAATTAATATCCTCACGTTTCCTGTGGTGCTTATTACTAGAAGATCACAACACTTTACAAACCATACTCTTCACGAGAATCCTTTGAAATGGGAAACTGAGGCAGAGAGGGACTAAAGTCAAAAGCATATGAAGATACCTTGTTTGAATCACTTGGAAAAGATCCCAGGAGGTCATCTTGAATAACTTCTGCATAAGACAGAATAACCCCTATCTGAATGACTCCAGCCAAATATTTGGCTATCCTGCACTTAAAAACTTCTAGTGATGAATATTCTACAACTTTTCTAGAAGATATCTTCCCCTGCTTAACTATTGTCATAGAGAGAAAATTCTTAATATAAAAAATAAATCCCCATTATTGCAATTTAAATCCATTCTTTTTTTCCATGTGCACTGCGGACATAGAGAACCATTGGTGTCTAACCTATTTATAAAAATGCCTTTTGTTTTGTATTTGAAAATTCTTCTCAAATGTTCCCTAAGTATTCTCTTCTCTAGACTAAATAATCACAGTTCTTCCAACCTGTCTTCACATGGTATCTTTTTAAGATGTCTAATCATATTTGTGCTTTCCCTTTTATTCTTTCCAATTTGTTCATTTCTTACGTTGTGGTGCTCAGCATTGGGCATAATACTCCAGGCGAGGTTTTTCCATTGACTGAATAGTGGAAGAAACACTTCCCACTCCTTCCTACTATTCATCCTTTTAATACATGGGGTTTTGGAGTACAGATATTTTTCTTTCAATATTATGGCCATGTCCAGATGAGTGCAGCTGTGTGTTACGTGGTGAAGACCCATCTGTGATACCACACACTGCACATTCAGGCATTTCTTACACTGCTACCTTGTAGCACGGGGTACAAGGAGGTCCTGGGGTAAAAAAACAATGGGGTGGAGGCAGTGCATGCTGCCCAAAACTGGAGTCTGCCCAGCTGGAGCCATGCTCCAGCAGCTGGCCAGGCTCCTAACTGCAGGTGTGCCACAGCTGCAGCTTCCAGGATCCCAGGTAAGGCTGCTGGGGCCAGCACAATTGCTGGCCCCAGCCTCTCCTATCCCACCCGGGGTAACCTGCCACATGTCAGAGGGTGTATGGTATGGGCGTTCCCCAGGGACAACTAGCAGTGGCACAAGCTGTGCCTCTGTTAGTTGTTTCCGGGGAACATAACGTCCGCGCTTGTCTGGACACAGCCTATTATACTAGTGATTCATATTCAGCTTGCAGCCCATTATAACTTCTATATTCTCCAAATCCTGTGATATGCAGCAGCTAGTTAAAAATAACTTAGCATTATATTGCTCTTTATCTGGTAGGCTTATCCTAACGCCCCATGCATTGTACAGGGAGCCTGGAGGCTTCAGGATTACACAAGGTGGCAGCACGTCTTAAGTTCAGAGCTGTAAAACCTAAGTCACCCATGGGAATTACTGCCCAGAGTTCATTATGGCAGGGTTGAGGGTACAACAGAGAATCTCCCTGATCTTGGTTTCTGTTGCCTCTGACTTCTGGGAGAAGCTATTGCAAAATAAGTACTGGTCATGCACTGTGCTACAGTATGCTCAGTCACTCTATGGGAATAGGGCATGGCCAGTCTGGATAGAGCTGGAAGGGATGGAGCATGTTCACTGTGGATGAATCTCCTGAGAATTTTGCTGCTAAATTCTAAGATGTCTTTACTGGGAATGTGCAAACTGAGGTTTTCAAAGGTTCATGACTTGATTGACTTTGGGCTGGTTTTGAGGACAGAGATGATTGCCCCTCCCTATCCCAATAAAATAAAACAAAAAATAAAACCCTCACAGGCACCATCCTCTTCCATTTGTCAAATTCTTCCTTCAAAATATGGAGGCATTAGAACTTCTTAACTCCTCTTGTCCCTCAGCTCCAGCCACTGCTTTCCCATCTTCCAAAAGTTCAGCCTGAAGCCAACACTAGGGAAAACTTCATCCCAATGGTTAAAGTTCGGTAGAGATACAAGCAACAGAGTCTTACCATGGGAAGAGTCAGGCAGCCCTAACTAAAGGCATCCCTGCCTGCACCACCTGTAAGAGAGCAAGTTATTTTTAGGATATATCAAATCTACTCATCCTGATTTTTCTTCTTTGGGAAGCTGACCTGCCAAGACTGAACACCTGCTATTGCTTGGCAGAAAAGCAATGCTACTGTTGGGAAAATGGGCAGTGCTCTCATATTGACAGGTTAATCATACAAAAACTTCTCTGAACATTGTAAGAAATATGACTAAAAAAGGTATAGTCAATGGAATGTAATCCAATAGACAGAATACAGCTACAGTATGTATTTAAAGTTATTGTGTGGAGAAACAAGAGAAATGTTGTTACAACAAGGGTAAAGAAACACCTTGACCTGTTAATAAGTGCAAAGAAAATAAATGCCTACAAGCTCATAAAACTCAGGTGTCACCTTGTCATTTAAGTGGCTGGAGAGACAGGAAAGCCAGTTTACAGTTGAGAAAGGCCAACCAACTTTCTGTCTTTAGTTACTCCTGTTCTCCCATATCTCCCTCCTTTTCTAGCCAGGTATTAGTTTGATATTGTTTTCAATTCTTTGTGGTGCTCATAAACATCCTTCACCCACGACTCTTCCTGTGGGAGAGGTCCATCTCATTATAAAATTGGCATGAGACATACACATCTGGGTACATGAAGAAAAATCCTCAATACCGTTTGTGTATTAGGGGACAGCAGTATATACGCCCCCTGAACTATATAATGTCTGATACTGGGTTTGTGCTCCAACCACACCATTGGCTGTTCATTGGGATGGGTGGTCCCAGTTTGTTCTATGTGCACCAGGAAAACCTACTTATATTCTTGGATGCCAAGATGTCATTTGCAGAGTTTGGAAACTTTTGATTCTGTGGGTTTAGGTTGTTGGTTTGTGCAGATATGATGATACTTATATACATACAGACTTTCTTTCTTATGCCAGAGCAATGAACAGCTCTGTGATTTTACCCCGAGACATTAATTCTCCATTAACACTAATGGTTGAAAAATTATATCATCAGTGCATCTGGTAAAAATGTCTATGTCCAACTAATTTTTGAAATAGTGTCCCAAAGAAATAGATATGTTTTGTGAAAACATGTTGTAATTTTTAGAATTTTTTAAGTGCAAATTTTGAAAAAAAAATTATGTTTTGGTTCGGTAGGTCAAGAGAATTAATATTATCTTCTTTTTTGCTTTGTCTTCACTTTTCCAATAGTCAAAAATAGTTTAATAAAAAATTAAAAAATACTAGAGAAATTTCCTAAAGAAATATCATCATTAAAAATAAAATCACAAAATCTTATTTCCCTTATTTGATCATCATTGGTTTGAGAATCAATGTTTTGAAATAAAAAAGAATAGAGAGCAATTTGCTTTGATGTTGACATGGCTATTTTATATTTTCTTTCTACTGTATTTCTCCTGCCTGTTAGTTATCTGATAATGTCTCTTATATCCTATTTTTATTTACATTGCAGTTTTCCATAGGCCTTTGTTCTATCTGCTATACAGACCAAGTTGTGTCTGCTTTTTTCTCAGAGGCGTGAGGAGGAGTACTTCATACATGAAAGCTTAACTATGTCTCTCCTGACTACACGGTTGGTCCATAAAAGATATCACTCACAAAATCCTTGCTTCTTGAGGATGTCACCTTGTCAATTAAGTGGCGGGAGAAGCAGGAAAGCCAGTTCACAGTGGGAAAGTTCCAGCCATTTCTTGTAGTACCAAATTAAAATATAGGGTCTTGATTCTCCACACTATCACACCAACTTTATGGCATAGAGTCATAGAATAGAAGGACTGGAAGGGACCTGTAAGATCATTGAGTCTGGTCCCCTGCCATGGGCAGGGGGTAATTGGGTTCAAACAAACTCCACAAGGTGCTTGTCCAGCCCTCTTGAAAACCTCCAGGGATAGCGACTGCACCACTTTAGCTGGGAGCGTGTTCCAGATTCTAGTTACCCTTATGGAAAAGGGGTTTTTCCTTATGTCTAGCCTTCACTTTTCCTCAACTAGCTTGTGCTCATTGGACCTCATCCTCCTGAGGGGTGCCTTTCTGAAGAGCTGATCTCCTAGATCTTGGTGTTCACCCCTGACATACTTGTAAGCGGCTATCAAGTCTCCTCTCAGTCTTCTCTTACTCAGACTGAATAGGCCCAGTTCCCAGAGTCTCTCCTCATAGGGCCTATCCCCCAGGCCCTTATCATGTGGGTGGCCCTTCTCTGTACTCTTTCGAGCCTATCCACATAGTTCTTGAAGTGCAATGCCCAGAACTGGACACTACTCCAGCTGTGGCCTCACCAATGCTGAATAGAGGGGGAGGAGCACCTCTCTGGATCTATTGGCAACACATCGGATGATACACACTACAGTTCTATTTGCCTTGTTGGCGACTTCATTGCACTGATGACTCAAATTCATCCTTTGGTCAATTGTTACCCACAGGTCCCTTTTGGATGCAGTGCCAGCCAGTAGGCTACCACCCATCGCATAGTTATGGTGGAGGGTTCTTCCTACCCAGATGAAGGACCTGGCACTTATCCCTATTGAACCTCATCTGATTGCATTCTGCCCATAGGACCAACCTGTCAAGGTCATCCTGGATACTTGCCCTGACCTCAGATGTGCCTGCACTTCGCCACAGCCTAGTGTCATCCACAAACTTAATCGTTGCGCTTCCCACTCCCTCATGAAGGTCATTGATAAAGATGTTAAAGAGTATGGGCCCAAGCACTGATCCCCAGGAGACATCACTGGAGACTGCACTCCAGAATGAGGCCACCCTATCAATTACAACTTGCTGGGATCAGCCGCTAAGCCAGTTGCCAACCTATCTTACCATAGCCTGGTCTAAGCCAGTACCCTCCAGCTTAATTGAGAGAATCTCATGAGAAACAGTATCAAAGGCCTTGCTGAAGTCTAGATAGATGATGTCTTTCTTATGCCCCATGTCCAGCTGGTTAGTTACCTGGTCATAAAAGGACATCAGGTTTGTTAGGCATGACCTCCCCTTGACAAAGCCATGCTGGTTGTTTCTCAGTACCCCACCAGTTGATGGTTTCCTTGATGATTTTTTCCAGGATTGAAGTCAGACTGACCTGCCTATAGTTTGCAGGGTCATCCCTATTCCTGTTCTTAAAGAGGGGCGCCATGTTAGCCATCTTCCAGTCATTTGGGACCCCTCCTGAGTTCCATGACTCTTCGAACAGCCCCGTGAGAGGCACCGCTATGAGTTTGGCCAATTCTTTTAGGACTCTTGGGTGCAGGTCGTCTGGCCCAGCCAACTTGAAAATGTCCATATGCTCTAAGAGTACCGTCACCTGTTTGGGGCTAATTTTATATCGACTACTGTCATCGCTGTATTCTCTGGGTCTCTGGACAAGTGACAAGTTCATGCCTGGTTTCAAGAATACCGATGTGAAGTAAGAATTAAGGAGCTCTGCCTTTCCGTGGGGAACAACTGTGAGCTCCCTCTCTGTGTTCAGTAGGGACCCACAGTGGAGCTTGATTTTTTCTTGCTGCCTATGTACCTATAGAAGGACTTTTTGTTGTCTTTTATTTCAGTTGCCATGCATGTCTTGGCCTTCCTTGTCTCATACCTGAGATTACCCTTCTCTGGATGCTGAACTGTTTTTCCATTGCCTGTACACTTCTATTTTCCTTTTGAGAAGTTCCCTGATGTCCCTGTTGAGCCAGGCAGGTCTCTTGGCTCCTTTTCCTCCTTTCAACCATGTGGGGATGGCCTCTTTTTGAGCAGTGAAAATTGCCTTCTTAAGGAACTGCCACCATTCCTGAATTCCCAAGTTATCCAGTCACTGGTTGCGAAGGGCCTTTCCAACTAGACTCCTGAGTTTACTGAAGTCTGCCTTTCTGAAGTCAAGGACTTCTGTTCTGCTGGTAGAATTCCCAGCGTTACGGTAGATGACAAATCTAATCAACTCGTGATCACTGTCACCCAGAGTATCTCCAATCTTCAGGTCACCTACCATGTCTTCCCTTTTGGTCAGCACCAGGTCCAGAGTGGCTTTACCCCTGGTTGACCCCTCCACAGCCTGTGACAAAAACAGGTCATCTAAAGTTGCCAAGAAGTTGGTTGACCTGCTGGAGCTGGCTGAATGGTCTTCCCAACAGATGTCAGTGTCGTTGAAGTCACCCATGAAAATCAAGTCCTTAGTGCTGGCTGCATTGGTCAGTTCCCTGTAAAACGCCTGGTCGCTCTCCTCTTCTGGACATGGCACTATACTGTTAACAGTCATAAGACTGATCCACTGAATAACATAGCCCTAAATAAATTATGCGACTGAAAATAAACCATGAGTTTTTACTGGGCCCATGAATGTTAGAATTCATGTAAGAGCTCATGCTTCCTATTTGTTTCATGCTTCTGCAAGGGTTTACAGCAGTCATTCTTAACCAGGATAATGTCCTGAGGTACCTTAAGATCCTTTTAAAGGTGCCAATGGGGTGTTACAAAATTTTAGCAATGTTAGGTGTACAAACATGATTCACACAATAAACTCAGAGATTTCAAATACAAATTCATAGTCTTAAAAACATTCTTCCCTGGTGTGGGCTTTCTGAGTTCTTTGCAACAGATGCATTGATCTGTTATTTTCCTGTAGTCAAAAAATGAATAAACACTAGGAACTGGCATTTCTGAGAAGTTCTTTGAGTCTAACAAGGGGTGCCCTGAGTCTAAACAGGTTGAGAACAAATAGGTTCACAGGATTAAGACCTCAAATTGCCATGAGATTGAGTTAAATGTGGGTGACAAGGTGATTTCTCATGTTATCATTGATAGTGCAGAGATAGTGTAGCCTTAACAGTAAATCACTAATATAATATACCAGTAATAATGATACTTACAACTCATTTTCATGTCAGTGTTCCCACCCCTCACCACAGGTACTTTTTGTTTGGGAACAAACTTCATCATAAGCTGCACAAGCCAAGCCAGAACCTAGAGTATGCATGTGGAGGACTAGCCTGCAATGAGATCTGTGTTGCTGTGGCTTCACTGTTACCATTACCTGAGGTAGTATAATGAAACTAGGCCAAGTCTGCCTATATATGCCACAGCTGTGCCAGTGTGGAGAGAGGAGAGAATATGTTCTCTCATTAACTCTGCTAGAAGAACTCAAGGGAGGAAGCATTACTATAAATTATAAGTGCCTTCCAGTTTTCTGCTTATATCTTAATTCACTCTAATTTGCAAACAGATGTTTGTCAGAAGGTAAGGTATTAGGAAATTCAGAACAAGTAGCATGAAAGAATCTTACCATGGAATACAAAATGATTTGTTAAAGTTTTTTATTCCTAGTTATTTCATTTCTTATTTAATGTTTCAAGTGAAAAGCTACTACTAAGGACATCTGATGCATTAATATCTTTTCTTTCCTCCTGAATTCATCACAAATTCTAGGAATTCATGTGCTTATTTAAGTTACTGAGATAGAATGATTGTATTAATAGCTGTTTTACTTGTAATTTCTTTTACCACAGGAGTGCTTAGTCTTCTGCCATTTGTTATAAATGTCAGATCAAGAATTCATCAATTGCAGACTTGCCGGGAAAAAAATGAACTCAACTTTTTATTAAAAGGAAGATGTGCAATACTGCTATGAGAAAATGAATGGATCCTGCTATAAAACACCATGGTCTTCTGGGATTCAAGGAACTTTGTATGTTGTGCTTGGTTTTCTCACAATTCTTACAGTAGCAGGAAACCTGATGGTTATTATTTCAATTGCCTATTTCAAACAGCTTCACTCTCCTACAAATTTTTTAATTGCCTCCTTGGCTTGTGCTGACTTTTGCTTGGGTTTGACAGTGCTGCCTTTCAGCACTATAAGATCTGTTGAGACCTGCTGGTATTTTGGGGAAACTTTCTGTAGATTCTACAGTTGTTTAGATGTGTCTTTTTGCCTAGCATCGATATTTCATTTGTGTCATCTCCATTGATCGGTATGTTGCTGTTACTGATCCTTTAGTTTACCCCTTGAAGTTCACCATGCCAGTTTCAAGAATGTTTGCAGCTGCTGCTTGGACATTTTCATTAATCTACAGTTTTTCTGTAGTTTTTACTGGAGCTAATGATGAAGGGCTACAAGAATTAGTGAAAGCACTCTCCTGTGTAGGAAGCTGTCAGCTTGTTTTCAATAAGACTTGGGTATTAATTTCATCCCTCCTTTATTTCATACCTTTCTTTACAATGATAATACTTAACAGCAAGATTTTCAGTGTAGCCAAAAAGCAAGCTAAAAGGATAGAGAGTGTGAGCAACAAAACACAGTCCTCTGATAATTACAATAACCGAGTAGGGAAAAGAGAGAGAAAAGTTGCTAAAACACTGGGCATAGCTGATTGTTTTTCTCATATTCTGGTCACCATATTTTATAACAGTCATAATTGATGCCTTATTTGATTTTCTAATTCCACCTCTTTCCTTTGATATTATGGTTTGGGTTGCTTATTCTAACTCTGCCATTAACCCCTTGATTTATTCTTTCTTTTATCCCTGGTTTCGAAAAGCAATGAAAGTGATTGTGAGTTGCAAAATGTTTGTGACTGACTGCTCAACAATGAATTTGTTTTCTGACTGAAAATGTAGTCTTGTGCTATTATGTTCTCATTCCAAGTCATAGATCTGCTTTGCATAAATTGTTTTCTCTTAACATTCTTTCATATTTTTTTTTTCAACCTGTAATCTTTACATCTTAGTGTGCTATTATTGATAAAGTGTCATTCTTCTTCTAACTGGTGTGATTCCAAGTACTCTATGTATATCTCTTTTTATAATTTAAAAGAAGCTGAATAAAATGGTATCTAAATAGCTTTCCAGAATTTTTTTAAATGTATTATTATGCAGTCTGTTGTTTTGACAGCTTGTAACCTGTCACTCTATAATCACTAGATATATGCAGCATTGACTGAACAATTCTATTTTGATTTTTTTTTTTTCTTTGCAACTGGTTGATTTACACACTCTTCTGCCCTGAAATAAGTCCATGTACTCATCCATATAATCAAAATGTATGAAAGATCTGTCTAAAAGGAAATAGAGGTGAACTTTCTATAGTCAGAAAATAATTGCAATGAAGACAGTTTTTCTGCCATTAAAAAGACTGGTAAACTAGAAAAAAAAGCATAAATAGGCGGATAGTACATGCTTTAAAAATGAGGTTCTAAGGTGTATTGGCAGTCACCTGGATATTGACTATTGCTGACTGAAGTGCTCATTTATGAATTTGAGACTCAATCCTACAAGATTTTACAGGTTATTTAAGAGTTCTGAGTTATGACTGGTTGGCCACCATTCCCCTAGTCCAAAGCTGCTATTGATCGGCATGATAAGTAGTTGATTGGTAAAGAGAAGGAACTGGACTGAGCAGATTGGAGAGACTAAGTATCAAGAATACTAGAGCATTCCAGGTGCAGGTAAATAAGACCTGCCCCCCTGCCACCCTTCCTACTAAGCATGCAAATGTGCCAAACATTCTCCCTTCCATGTCCCAGAAGAACATAACAGCATTTGGCTTACACTCATTATGGCAGAAATAAAAGAGTTCTTAATCTGGGCTAAATCCTGCTGGGAAATGAAAAGTAAGCATAAAAGTCACTTCTTCCTGTAGTTTATGGGAGACATGGAAGGAAGCAGATTATGGTGGTATGTCTCTCCAGAAAATTAGAGTCAATCTGAAGCTGGTTTTAAATTTTTTCTTATAATACACTTTGAAGAATAAGCAGAATTGTGCCCTATTGAAGTCTATTTCCTTCCTGTTTAACTTTTAGTAGCTCCCTCCCTAAGCAAGGGAAGTCAGGTAAACTTTTCCAAGAACTTGTTTTTATTTGATGTTCAAAAAGGCTTTACTGATATGCTTAAAAACAAACAAACAACACAACTTTAGAAGACTAAATCTAAACCTCCAAACTGTTCTTTCACATTCATCTGTCATTCCCTCTTTTACTCTGATAAATTCCTAGCACCCTAACTACCTATAACCATCTAAGACATCCAACAAGCTATCTTCCTCTTTTGTAGTCCTCTTGATTTCTCTTTCTTTCTTTCTCTCTCTCTGTCTCCAAATCATTCCTCATCCTTTAAAAAAAAAAATCCAAAAATGTTCCTAGTTCACTATAACTATTCAGCCTCACTCGCTATCCTTTCACTGTCCTCTCACTCTGGATTCTTTTCTGCACCTTCATCAGGATGCATCCCTCACAACTTCATATTTTGCTTTTTCTTTATCACCCCATAGGTTTAGAAAGTTCACTAACCCCGAGAAAGCAATAGGTAAGGTCAGAAGTGCTCACTGAATCCTTAAAGGGAAATTAAAGCAATTAAGTTGTTGGTACAGTTGGTTCTAATCTTTTCTGAACCTTCTGAGTGCCTGTACACATGTGGAGAGGCTGCTGTAATGTGCTATAAATATGGCACATTGGAGCAGATTCGATAAATTGAGTCTCTTGGAGTGTGCTAATTAGCATGCTCTAGCAAGCCTCCATGTCTGGTGTATCAGCATCCCCGAGCTTCAAAATGGCAGTGGGGGTACTTTAACTAAAGCTTGTTTGAACTTTAGTTAAAGTACCCCTGCCACCATTTTGAATCACAGTGGCACTGATACACAAGAAGGCAAGGATGCTTTAATTAGAGCAGCTTTCAGAATGCCCACCCTCATCCCTGAAGCATGTGTAAAAATGCCGTCTGAGTCTTTCTGAAATAATCCTGTGGGTGGAGTAGCAGGGAGATCTGTTCTGGGGGTAGAGAGAGCTTCATTCCATGATCCAGGGTTTTAACATGACTTGCAATGTTTTTAAAGAAAAAAAGGTCCTAAATCTTTCTCTTCTCTTCTCCCTGTAAAAGTAATGGAAACCAGATACGTTTAATGTGACTGCTGTTCTTGCAGGGCTAGTCTTCTTCTGTTCCCTTTTGGGTCTGAAATTTCCCTATTAGTATTACTTTGATGTTGATTTCTCTGATAATCCCCCAATTCATAGATTGTTAGGGTCTGGAAGGGACCCTGCAGATCATCGGGTCAAGCCCTGCCCCTGCTCTAGGCAGGAAAAGACAACTGGGGTTAGGTGACCCCAGCGATGTGACTGTCCAGTCTCCTCCTGAAAACCTCCAGGGGAGGTGACTGCACCACCTCTGGAGGGAGTTTATTCCACAGTCTGGTCACCCTGAGTGTGAAGGAGTTTTTCCTGGTATTAAGCCTGAAGCAGCCTTCCAGGAATTTATATCCATTGGTCCTTGTCTTCCCTAGGGGTGCCCTAGTGAACAGTTCTTCACTGAGCTCATGATGCACTCCTCTGATATAGCGGTAAACTGCTATCAAGTCCCCTCTCAACCTTCTCTCTTCTTTAGCCTAAAGAAGCCCAGGTCCCTCAGCCTTTCCTCCTGTGGTTTGAGAGAGTCTCTTCTCTGGACTCTTTCAAGTTTTTCCACACCCTTATTGAAGTGGGGCACCCAGAACTGGACTCAGTATTCCAACTGCGGTCTCACCAGTGCTGAGTACAGCGGTAGTATCACTTCCTTAGTTGATGCATGCTAGTGTGTTGTTTGTTTGACCTGCTGGCCACCACATTGCACTGTTGGCTCATGTTCATGCAGTGGTCAGTCATTACCCCTAGGTCCCTGTCAGCTGTGGTGCAGGTCAGGCTATCACTTCCAAGCCTATATGTATGTTGAGGATTATTTGCCCCCAGATGGAGCACCTTACATTTGGAAGTGTTAAACTTAATCTGGCTCCAGTCTGCCCAACTCTCAAACCTGTCCAGGTCCACCTGTATCAGCAACATATCTTCTGGTGTGGCCACACTGCCCCATAACTTGGTGTCATCTGTGAACTTGGCCAGCGAGCTTTATCAATGATTTGTATGGGGGAGAGAAAAGATGCTGAAAAGCACCAGTCCAAGCATGGACCTCTGAGGAACACTACTGGCCACTTCATGCCAAGACAACATGGATCCATTCATGAGAACCCTCTAGATGCTACCCTGTAGCCAGTTTCCCACCCACTGAACCATTGAGCAGCTGAGCCCACAATCTTCCAGTTTTCCCACAAGGATATCGTGGGATACTAGATCAAAGGCTTTTTCGAAGTCTAGGTATATAATGTCTATCTTGTCTCCCATGTGCAGGTGGCAAGAAACCTGGTCATAGAAGGAGATGAGATTGGTAAGACGAGACCTACCCATTACAAAGCCATGCTGGCTGTTGTTCACAATCTTACCTTTCGTGAGCATATTGCACATAGATTCTTTAATGAGCTTTTCCAGGATTTTCCCCGGGATAGAGGTTAGGCTGTTTGGTCTATAGTTGTCCAGGTCTTCCCTCTTCCCCTTCTTATAGATGGACACAATGTTGGCCCCCTTCCAATCCTCAGGGATCTCCCCTGTGCACCACAAATTCTGAAAAAGCTTTGCCAGCGGTTCCACGATGACTTCAGCCAGCTCCTTCAGCACTCTCGGATGGAGTCCATCTGGCCCTGCTGACCCATAAATGTCTAGCTTTTCTAGTTGGTATTGCACCTGCTCAGCATCCACAGTGGGGAAGCTGACAGTTCCAGCATGCCCCCTATGAGCCTTGTCTTGCTTGACTTTCCCCATGGTCCAGTGAAATAACAAAGCAAAATTAGGGTATAACTATACTGCAGAGAAAGACTTGAGCTAGCTTTCAACAAGCTTCTCTGGGTACTGGTAGCAAATGGGATCCTTCAGCTTGGTGCTCAGTTTGGAGTATAGTCCAACCTACCTTGCGAATAAATTAGCTGTCAGAGAGCTCTGTGCTGCTACAAGTTGACTGTGTCGGGTACCTACATTAGCTAATCTAAAGCTAGCTCAAGTCTTTCTACACCACACTGCAGTGACATTGACTACAGTCCAACCATAACCTTAGGCTAGGCCCTGGGCACCATGTCAGTGTGTCAAGTGAGCTTATGTAGCAGGTCTGAAAGGTTGAACATGTAGAATCCTTTTTTTGAAGGTTTGGACTTACGCACTCCATAACCAGACAGCTGCTTTAAAGCCAAATGATTATTTATCTAAAATGAACAAAGCACTTAGGAAACCTATTACATGTTTACAGAGGGAGAACCATTCTTTCCCATCCCTATGATTTTTTTTGTGACAGCATTGTATACACCTAAATTAATATTTTCATACTGTAAGCCTCCCACTACTGTAGTCAGCCTGCATTCATGTTATTAAACTGTTTAAAATCTATTAACAAAACCCACACCCAAATGAAGATATCTAATAGGTTCCTACTGATTTAAACTATGTTGATAAGGGGTGGGCAATTGTTTCAGCTAGAGTCCTGCTTAATGAATTTTGCTGAGCTGTTGAGGGATGCAAGGGTAGCCCTACCTCTTGACAGGTGCCTCCTGCCCACCCCGGTCATCATCTTGGGACCAGAAGCCCCACCCCGACCCCTAACTTTTGCCACCAGAAATCCCACCCTTGTTCCCAGAAGTACTGCTTTTGGGAGGGGGTTGCCATCTAGGAACCAGAAAAAACCCGAATCACGTACTAAAAGTCAAACATCTATTATAGCATATTTTGTTACAAAAAATATTTTTGTCACAATTTGTGTTTGTGCACT